TGGCTACACATCCTGGACACGCCTCAGTTTTTGTCGTTGCACAAGTGCGATTCATACGTACACGTCAAACCACGACATTAAAAATATATAAAACCCTGTGGATCAAATATTGGGTCTATTTGCTGACATTTGCGGTAAACCTTGTTTTTTGATGTCCGTAGGCATTATTTGATGTCCGTAGCCAAAATTTGGCAACATTTGCGGTAACCATAATTTTACCGTAAAATATACCACCAGTAAGGGGCCCCTACATTTTTTCTTAAACCTTGCGCCAGGCAGTTTCAAGGGCGTTATACAGAAAACAAACCTTACCCTGGTAGAAAACAAAAATAAATGCCATGTGATCCTGTTTGTTGGTCTGCTCCTTGATCAGTCGAGGTACTGGCAGGAGAAAGGTTCTAACAGCGGCGCAGTTCTCATAGACATGCGCCACGGAGCTGGTCGGAGAGTTTGCCCAAAATCAACGTCTGCCCCCAAAGATCCCATGCTTCGTGCACCTGAATTTGTCCCACGGTATCTGGTTTATCAAAAAAACATCCTCGTCATTTCACAGTCCATCATAAATTCGTTCCCATCGAACAAAATAACATTGCCAGCATGTATGGTGGGCGTTCAGACGGTTCCAAATTCATGGACATCCTCCGAACCGGCACCAGAACCTGGCGCCTGGTGGCCCGTTTCGCAAAGCTAGGCAATGATATTAAAAATGAATTATAATATACTCCCACAATGCCAACAAAACACACACACTTGCTCAGAAACATCTTTGCGAATTCTGATGTGGAATGCATCTTACGTGCAAAAACACTCCAATTAAACCTGACAGGAGCCATTGAATGATCAGAAGTGAGGAACCTCAGGTTGAAGCTTGGTTGGCACTTGACAGTGCAGTTAAACCGCAACAGAAAACACAGTATGACGTGTCCCCCAGCTGCGACTTGAATGCGCCCAGGAGCGTCACTGCAGGTACAGAAGTTCGCGTCCAAACTTCCATCCAGTTGATTTCCATAGCTTCGTTGGCGTGACTAGGAAATCAACCGTCACGCCCCCTGCACTTGAAAAGGAGATTGGATAAACGCCTGGTAAAATACTCAAAACTGGTTCATTGTAATGGCAAAGAACCTGATAAGAAAAAGCAATTCCGTTAATCAAGGTAGAAGTTTTAATCCCTTCAGATGTTCCATACAAACGCCCCGCTGCCGCGAGGCTTTTTAAGGCCCCGACGAATGAGATGAAGGTGACGATGAAGGAAAGATGAAAATGAGATGACGATGAAAATGAGATGACAATTACTTAACCGGAACACAAGAGGGGGAACGCAAAAAGGAGAAGGAAAAAGAGAGAACACCAACACCAACACACCTGGCACAAACGGGCAAACCCTGAAAGGGCAAGGAAAAAGAAAAAGCGGACGGACGACGGGCCAAAAAACCAACCAGAGGAGGGGGGGGCGGACAGAAGCGCCTGACACAACCTACAAGGCGAGAGCCAAAGCCTACCTAGGAACGCGAAGGACCCAAACCTGACCTAGAGAGGAAAGCGCGCATGAGATAGGGGACCAATGGGGAACTAGTTGATGAAATAAGATGCATCCACATTACGTGCATTTTTGGTGATAAGGCTCAAAGGCCCTCGGCTTTCATTTCACAACCCTGTAAACGGCTTACGTCGTCAACCCCTGAATTACGTGCACAATTGAACCTCACCAACGACCATAAAAAGAAAGAAAGACCACACCTAAAGCATGTCCTATTGCCTGATTTTTCATGAAAGAAAAGGTGAAGCCAGGCACAGCGGCACGTTGTTCAACCAAACGACATTCGACAGGGTGAAAACCGAAAAATTGCCAGCTGTTCACTTTACTTAAACGAATTACTAATTCAAAAGTGTAAATTCAGACAAAAGAAAGGGTGAAGCCAGGCACAGCGGCATGCTGTTCAACCAAACGACAGTCAACAGGGTGAAAACCGAAAAATGGCCAGCTGTTTCACGATACTTAGACGAATTACTAATTCAAAAGTGTCAATTCAGAGCTCGTTTCAACGTGTCAATTTTTAGCCCGGAAAGGCTTCCCCCGAGGGGTTCATGCCACCTTGACGAATCCAGCATGAATCACACACTTGCTCAGAAACATAATCTTTGCGAATTCTGATGTGGAATGCATCTTACGTGCAAAAACACTCCAATTAAACCTGACAGGAGCCATTGAATGGTCAGAAGTGAGAAACCTCAGGTTGAAGTTTGGTTGGCACTTGACAGTGCAGTTAAACAACAACAGAAAACACAGTATGACGTCCCCCAGCTGCGACTTGAATGCGCCCAGGAGCGACACTGCAGGTACAGAAGTTCGCGTCCAAACTTCCATCCAGTTGATTTCCATAGCTTCGTTGGCGTGACTAGGAAATCAACCGTCACGCCCCCTGCACTTGAAAAGGAGATTGGATAAACGCCTGGTAAAATACTCAAAACTGGTTCATTGTAATGGCAAAGAACCTGATAAGAAAAAGCAATTCCGTCAATCAAGGTAGAAGTTTTACATCTCTTCAGATGTTCCACGCACACACACACACAAAAAAAAAAAAACAAGCAAACTGGGTTTCGGTGGATATAGCATGAGAACATGGACTAACAGGCTACATTGATCTATGTGAAGGACCTCCCACCTGACCCCTTACTTGCCCCCATGAAATTGGGGACTGCGACTAGCAATAACCATGACAAGTAACCCCTTCCCCTTGTGTATAAACAAATATAAACAAAAGCTACAGAAGCCCTGGTTTAGTGGTAGCCATTGTAGGACCCTGCTTCAGAAATGGTAGGGGGAAGGCGTTATTAGGCAGGGGATGCGATTATTCCCTGGCGGCAACCTTATTGGCAAAGGATCTGAATGGACCTGATTGAAACATGAAGTTCTGAAGCGGGGCGATTTTGGGGAGGATGGTGCGACAAATATCCACCCATACATGCCAGCTGTCGTCCACTCATATCTGTGTGAAAGATGTCGTGCGCAACACCAATTCCTCACAGACACACACTAGACAAGAGTAGATTTTTTAAGAGATCCGATGGGAACTGAATCCGGATTCTTGGCTTGGCCGGTTGCCATGTCGGAGGAATGAAATCAAGACCCTAAAAATTCAAATTGAACTGATGCAAACACAGTACGGCGGTTAACAGAAACAGAAGTCAACAGTTCAACTTATCAAGAACAGGTACGTGATCGAGGCGTCCCTCAATCATATCCTGACGAAAGGCTTGAGCTTCGCTGGATCAGGCCAGGCCAAACGTCCCTGATCCCCCTGCAATGTAGAAGGAGAGAAAAAAGAAAAAGGAGAGGTTTTACATCTATTCAGATGTTACACACACACACTCTTGGCCGGGACCGGGTAAACCCTGAAAGGCAAGAGGAAGAGAAAAGCGGACACAAACGACGGGCCAAGGCCGGAACAGCGCAGGGGGGGAGGGGAACAAACGGACCTCCAGAACCAACCTACACGGCGAAACGGACCTGACAAACACAGAGCACACACCTGAACCCCACAACACATTATCGAGGGGCACCGGGGAAGAATTAGGGACCGAATGGGGGACTAGTTGGTGACGACAGTGAAACAACAAAGTAATTAAAGGGATTCAGTTCACTGCTAGTTTGCACAGTCGTGCGTTATTCCCTCAAAGGGGACCGTGGTCAAGTCAAGCCACATGGGCATAAACGGCTGTTCAAGCTCAAGCGAATTAGATGCACGAAATGTTTTACCTCACCAGACAACCATCAAGAGAAAAGATCACCACACCTGGAAAGCGTGTAGCTGCCTTGCATGTTGTGAAATGTTTCAAAAGCTTGAGCAGCAGCAAAACAAAAATGTTTCTGGTTTTTCGGTACGGCTGCCAGTACACAGAAGGGCAGAATCACAGCGGTCTCCAGGGACAACAGGAACGGCAGGACATCATAAAAGGTGAAGAACGGAGAGGCCGACTGTTACACTTTACTTAGATGAATTGCCAGATTAAAATGTGTGAATTCAGAAGTCAGGGCAGTCATCAGTCACCCTAAACAGGGTTGCCTCCAGTGGCGCCATGGCACCATGTCGGAGCCACCATGGATATTACACTAGACAAGAGTGGATTTTTTAAGAGATCCGATGGGAACTGAATCCCGGTTCTTGGCTTAGCCGGTTGCCATGTCGGAGGAATGAAATCAAGACACTAAAAACTCAAATTGAACTGATGCAAACACAGTACGGCGGTTAACAGAAACAGAAGTCAACAGTTCAACTTATCAAAAACAGGTACGTGATCGAGGCGTCCCTCAATCATATCCTGACGAAAGGCTGGAGCTTCGTTGGATCAGGCCAGGCCAAACGTCCCTGATCCCCTGCAATGTAGAAGGAGAGAAAAAAGAAAAAGGAGAGGTTTTAGATCTATTCAGATGTTACACACACAGAGACACACACACACACGCGCGCACACACATACACACACTTCAGATTTTGGGAATTTGTGAGGGAACTGTTTTTAGACCTTGGCAATGCCTTGAGGGTTCCTAGGTTGTTATGTTTTCAATGCAACCAGCTGCTCTTCAACAAATTGCAATCTTCGACACATGTTAGGTGAACACGGATTTTAAAAAATGAATTGGACTGAAGAAACAACAAGCGGAACGAACAGTTTCATCAACAAACCGGAAATTAACAGTTCACACCTTGTAGCAGGGACGCACCTGCATATTCGTCAGCAGCGCTCCCAGCATGAGTTGAATCTTGTTTGTGATAATAGATTGCACACACAATTATGTAAAACCATGTGCATGATGCAAATAATAAATAAACAACACATGTATGTATCAATAATTTATAAACACATGAAACAAACATGATATGTAGAAAAAGTACGCAACTACATGTATGTCAAAGAGGTAATCTAGCCAAAAACATATATATATATAGAGACGGAGTTGTTCACCACATGCGCACATTCCAACCATAACATATGTCAAACATATGTCCCGCCTTGGAAAGTGCTGAAACACATGTGCTTCAGATTTCATTGGCTATCAGGAGGTTTTTTACGGCTTTTCCGCCGGAAGAATGCCAAAAACACTCCTGGAGATTCTCCAGGAATCGGAATCCTGAAAGGAACAACCCGGGATGTCCACGAGTTGCTCCCCAAGGGGGCAGCAAACACAAGCCCCGTCAGGAAACGAGTCGCGCGGCGCGGCCTAACGATTAATTAATCAAGGCGCACGCAAAAATGGGCAAGCCAGGCAGGCTGTCCCAGCACTTGGTCGTTCAATTTCGAAAATTTGGGGGCTCAGAGGTCCCGGGTCCTGGTTGACCTCGGCTACTACCCCCCATAAAGGGGCGGGCATTGCAGATCACTCTCTAACACCAGCCCTAGACCAACAACCAAAGAACAAAAACGCAAGCAAAAAGTGAACAGGTTTCATGAATGCTCAACTCCCATGGCCTCTAACTCAAATTTGTTGAGCAACTTGGTGGGTAGAGTGGGGGGAAACCACTGGGACCTCGTGAAATCGGGAAATGGGGTGAACGGAAATCGTAAATTCTATATTAGAAAATAAGTGCAGCTAATAATATATATATATGTAATTATATGTATATATATATATACACCGCTTGGATGTAGAAAACATGCTTTCAATAAAGAGGAACTGCATCTGGGATGAACCAATGCTATAACTGATTTCAACTAGCTCCAGCAGTTGTTGACCAACAATCAAGAGCGGCGACAGCGCTGCTCAGTGCTGACAAAGGAATAATCAACCCAGGTAGCTGTATTTGGGGGCACCGGCCAAAAGTCAAAAGCGACAAACTACAGTACTATGAAACATGGTACAATGACTTCACTCACTTCAATCAGCCATGTTTCCAGCAAACTCATCATAACCCTATTGCAGCTACAGTAAACCCAACTACTACTCTTTTACATGATAGTATATGTGCGTACGTATTATAAATACATACATAATACAAATATATTTATATATATATATATACATAATTACATATACGTAACAAACCCATTGATGGTCGCCCCCAACCAAAAGAAAAAAAATACAATGTTTTTGGGGTTCAAGCACGGCAGACACTTATTTATATATATATATACACATACCTAAAGCAGTTCTGTGTTTTAGTTGGAGGTAGCTGGGTAATTCTCACCATCTACAATTACCCAGTTTCATCCCTGCAGCCGGTCACTTCACAAATTCGCCCATCGAGCTGGTCTTGGTGGGGCTCTGCAAAAAGTCCATCACCTGAGGCAAAGCTGAGACTGAGATGTGCAGGTCACACGCGCACACACACACATATATATAATATGTACAGATAAAATGGTCGAAGGAAGTTCAGAAGTCAAACTTTCGACAATGTGACCAATGGAAAAGCAGAGGTTGGAAGAGTCAGACTAGAGAAGAGAAGAAGAGAGAAGATCAGCGAAGAGAAAGAGAAAGAACATGCAGGCGCGGGAAAAGGAAGAAAAGTCGCGATTCACTCTGTTTTTTCAATGGTTTGTCGCTACGAAGGGTCCAAAAGTAGGCTCGCTAGAGCGGCGGGTGCGGAGCCATCTGGCCAGATGAGAGATGAAAGAGCACGCCGTTGTGGCGCGAAGCACATTTCGAAGTCAAAATGTACAAAACACACCATTCTCAGACAACTTTTGGAAGTTGACATGTCAAAAAAGAGCACGCCGATGTGGCGCGAAGCACATTTCGAAGTCAAAAGTGTTAAACACTGATGGTCTCGGAGCACTTTTGGAAGTTGAGATGTCGAAAAAGTGCACGGCGTTGTGGGGCGAAGATGGGGGAAGCACATTTCGAAGTCAAAATGTACATAAATGTACAAAGCATTACAAAGCACCGAATGTTCGGAGCACTTTTGGAAGTTGACATGTCGAAAAAGTGCACGCGGTTGTGGCGCGAAGCACATTTCGAAGTCAAAAGTGCAAAAAAATGACGGGAACGTAGCACTTTTGGACGTTCAGATGTCGTTTTGCGTGGCAGGTGCAAGGGATTGTGCACCTGGTCAAAAGTGAACAAAATTTGAGGGTTTTGTAGCACTTTCAAAAACAACGGCATGCGTGGGACATTTGAAGAGACTCTGCAAAGATGCTTTCGTGTGGCAGGCGCAGTGCAAGAGAGACATGAGTTAGATATGTTAGGAGGTCAGGGCGCTGATTTTCTGAGAGGGGTTGCCTTTTTGGAGCATCGGATCTTCAGGTTTGCTAAGATGATTTGCGTGACAGATGCAAAACTTCGTATGACCTGGCATCACTATTTCGTGGCAGCACAGCACTTTAGACAGATGGAGTGGAAAAATCGCAAGATGCATTGGCACGAGGCAGTCGGCTCTGCACTCAACTTTCCATGTTTGTACAAATACAACTACAACTACTTTACACCAGCACTACAACACAAATACAAAGACAAATTTACATCATCACACTACACTACACTACACTACGCTACACTACACTACACTACACTACACTACAGTAACGACAACTACAGCTACAACTACAACTACACTACTTTACACTACCTACTCTACACTACACTGCGCTACACTGCACTGCACTACACTACAGCGCACAACATACAGCACACTATATACACTACACGACATTTCGTTTCACTACACTCATTACACCACACCACAACTACAACTGCAACTACAACTACGCTAAACTAATTACACTAATTACACTACAACTACAACTCCACTACGCTACAGCTACAGCTACAGCTGCACTACAACACACTACATCCAGCAGTTGTGGGTGAAGGGACCACTGCAACCATTGCAAGCACTCAAAAAGCACAACTCCAACCACTTTTCCGTCCATCAGTGGCTTCGCTCTGCCATCAATGCATCACAACAACTCACCTCTCCTATAGTGTCTTACCTTTGAAACTTCCGCCACCGCGTTGCGCAGTACTACTGGTAATATTCCAACATAGCTGGTTCATAATAGAAAATCTTATTAAAATGGATGATGTAGGGGTATCCCCATTTTAGGAGTCCTCCATATGTAAACATACACATAAACATATATATATATATGTGTGTGTGTGTTAGGATTGAACACAATATATATATATATGTGTGTGTGTGCATATATGTAAATACATTTGTATATACATAAATAAACATATATAAATATTTTTACAAGAATTTACACATATAAAAATACATAAACATAAATGGATATATATACACCCAAATTTCAATATTTATATATATATAGAGATATGTAAATGTATATATATATATTTATATACACAAGCCATTGAAGGTGCTGTTGCATGTGGTACAAATTTGAATATCTTAGTCACAAAAGCAATTGTGACCCTGGCACATGGTGAACCCCTGATGATCCCTGATGAAGCTTAAATCTGCACGACGGAAGATTTGAAAGTGGCAACTGATTCTGCACACCTTTTTTCCCTTTTTCATAGTGTGTAATGATGCAGAAATACCTTCAAAACCCCATCCAATAATTAAGTTTAACCTTGCGTTGCAAAATCTCCAGCTTGTAGCTGATTAGCCCATATTATTAGCCAATATTTTTAAATGAACACGTTGCATTTTTCATCATTTTGCCAAAGTAAATTACCAGGGGGACAACAACCAACAATCAATGGCATTCAATGGCTACAATAATAATTGGTGGTTTGAGCTGGTGATTTGGAATCATGCCCTGCCATCCCGCTGTAAGGGATTCATCCGGAGATTCATGAACATTTGAGCGAGTGGTGGAACACACCCGCTTAACCACCGACTGAACCTGACAAAAGTTGAGTTTCGCTCTTAAATGTCCTCATTAAAAAATATATATATATATATATATATGTGTGTATACTATACGTATACGGTAGCTACATTTAAATATACAGACTTTTTAATATACGAACAGGTATTTTAGACTACCTCCGGGAAGGTTTTTCTTGGCCCGCCGGGCCATTTAAACATACGGAAACCAATCCATCTGAACATACGGTAACTACATTTACATGTACGAACAGGTATTTCATACTACCTCCGGGGCCTCGTGGTCTGGCCCGCCCTCCACATGTATATTTAAATGTCGTTGCCGTATATATGTATACATATATATATAATTACATATATGTATATATAATTACATATATATATAATATATATATATATATATATCACCCTCCCCAGGGGTTTTGTACACCACCCCCCCCCTTCATACATTTTTTGCAATGTATGAACATAGGGGGGGACACCGTCGATTTTTTAACATCAATTCACATATTGCATGTGAAAAGTATGAAGCCCATGGGGGAACCCTGTTCCCCCATGGGCTTCATACATTAACTCAATAATGTATGAACCCAAGGGGGGAGATGCCCCAGCCATCTGCTATTCATTTTTCTATAATGTATGAAAGTAGGGGGGGAGGGTGTTGTTTTGGTGGCATGGACTGATACCTTAAAATGTATGAAACCTAGGGGGGACACCGTTGATTTTCTTCAAGCAGAAATCATGGGAAGGACTTTTCAAATAACATGCAACGTCATACAACTTCCATCAACTTCCACCAGAGTACATTGGATGTATGAATGATTGGTTTGACAGGCTCACCCATCATTGGAATACATTCTATACGTGTTTGGCTGAGGTACGCACAAAACCCAGTATGCTCTATTTATGTCCTGGCATACCCGAAATGCCACTTATCTGTAATCAGAAAAAGGGTCAAAACTGTATGAATAAGGAGGGTGACAGGCTCACCCCTCCTTAGAATACATTTCTGGGTTCGATATGGTTAGACTTTAGGCATGGTTGGATATGGTTGGATATGGTTTGATATGGTTGGACACACACAAAATCGAATCAAATCCTTTTGTATGTCCTTGTATACAAACAAATACTACCTTACATATTTTTTTGGATCAAAGGAAAAAGAAAGTTCGAAAATGTATGAATGGGGGGGGACAGGCTCACCCCTCCTTGGAATAAATTTCTGGGTTAATTATGATTGGATGTGGTACTGGTTAGATTTGGTTGGGTACACACAAAATTCTGTTCATTTGCCCTTGCATTATTACACCAGCTTCAACAGAGAAAGTTGATTCTAGCAAAAAATGAAACACATAAAGAAACAAAAACACAATCAAAACACAGAATCGCCAAAAACAACCCGACAAGATTCACCAGAAAAAAACACAACAAAATCAAAAAACAAAAGCCACAAAAACAATCTTGACAAGTTTTGATTATTTTGTGTTTTCCTAGTTTGTTTTTTTCTGTGTGCTCTGGTTGTGTATTGTTTAAACCGCTATATTCTTTATGCTGTTCGGCTCAAAAGCCTGGTATACAAAAAGGATCAAAACAAACTCCTTACAGTAATTTTTGGCTCGAGAGAAAAAGAAGGGTCAAAAATGTATGAAAGGAAGGGGGGACAGGCCCACCCCTCCTTAGAATACATTTTCTGAATTTCTGGGTTCGATATGATTAGACTTTAGACATGGTTGGACCTATGGTTGGATATGGTTGGATATACACACCATCATACACCATCCAATCAAATCCTTTTGTATGTCCTTGTATACAAACAAATACTATCTTACATATTTTTTGGATCAAAGGAAAAAGAAAGTTCGAAAATGTATGAATGGGGGGGGGGACAGGCTCACCCCTCCTTGGAATACATTTCTGGTTTAATTATGATTGGATGTGGTCCTGCTTAGATTTGGTTGGATACACACAAAATTCTGTTCATTTGCCCTTGTAGTCTGACACCGGCTTCAACAGAGAAAGTTGATTCTAGCAAAAAATGAAACACATAAAGAAACAAAAACACAATCAAAACACAGAATCGCCAAAAACAACCCGACAAGATTCACCAGAAAAAACACAACAAAATAAAAAAAACAAAAGCCACAAAAACAATCTTGACAAGTTTTGATTATTTTTGTTTTCCTAGTTTGTTTTTTTCTGTGTGCTCTGGTTTTGTATTTTTTAAACCGCTATACTCTTTATGCTGTTCGGCTCAAAAGCCTGGTATACAAAAAGGATCAAAACAAACTCCTTACAGTAATTTTTGGCTCGAGAGAAAAAGAAGAGTCAAAAATGTATGAAAGGAAGGGGGGACAGGCCTACCCCTCCTTAGAATACATTTTCTGAATTTCTGGGTTCGATCTGATTAGACTTTAGACATGGTTGGACCTATGGTTGGATATGGTTGGATATACACACCATCATACACCATCCAATCAAATCCTTTTGT